AATCCCTTTTTGATAAAAAGAGAAAAAAGATAAATTTAACAAGTAGAAAAGAATATATGTTCATCTCTTGGTAAAGTTTTTCGTACGTAACGTTAAACGCGTTGTAACTCGTAAACCTTGATCGTTCTTAGAAATCATTTGATTAATACAATTTATTTCTTGTACTAATCAAAATTTAAAATTCTACTTAAATTTACTTGAATAACTTTGAATTACGTATTTGAAAACATATAAAAAAAAAGAAAAATGAAGAACATGAGAAATGATCGATTAAATTAAGTTGGACATTTTTCACACATGCTCCAAAGTTTATCAAAAGTTTCTAAATGATTTAAATAATTAATTAATTAATTAATTAAGTTGATATTAATTTCGTATTTCTAAAAATGTTGCAAGGTATGTAATTTAATAATATTGTAAAAAATAAAATAAACTAAATATAATAAATTGTAATTATCATTAAATTATTATTTGAATTTGATCATCAACGTTTACGTTGCACTTCTAACGTTGATCAAACCAAAACAAAGAATGAAAAAAAAAAAGTCATCGAAAAAGAAACAACAAAGATTGATACTTTTGAAAGTGCAAGCTGAAAGAACGATCACCCTTTGACAAAATGAAAGATAAGACTTTGTTATGTCCTCTCCGGCATAAATATACATTCGAATGGCACGCATTTGAAGGAACATAAATTCCATGTTGGAATGCAATTCAATCCTATCGTTTCTATTATATTTGTTTTTTACAATAAATTTTTTTTTTTTTAACACTAAACATTTTCTATTTGAAATATTTCGAACAATATTTACATTACAATTATATATGTTTTTTCATTTGTATTAAGTAAATATAAATAATTAAATTTACCACACACACACACACATGATTCACAAATATTTTATCTGTGTACAATAAAATTTAGAAAATTTGATATTTTAATTAATAATAATTAATTTAATATTTTAATTTTTTTTATTTTATATTTTAATTGAATTGAATTGAATTGAATTTAATTTAATTTAATATTTTAATTAATAATAATTAATTTAATATTTTAATTTTTTTTTATTTAATATTTTAATTTAATTTAATTTAATATTTTAATAAAATATCAAATAAAAATATAAAATTTGTTTTTTTTTAATTAATTAATGAATTGAAACATTTTGAACAATTAAATTGCAATTATATATTTTTTTTCATTTGTATTAAGTAAATATAAATAATTAAATTTACCACACACACACACACATATGATTCACAAATATTTTATTTATTAAGCATTTAGAAAATTAATATTTTAATTTATTTGTTTTTTTTTTTTTAGGTTATGAATGATTCAAGTATTTTCAGTAAAAAATGTATAATAAGAAACAATGGTAATTCAGTTAAATATTTATTATAGAGAAGATTAATCGTGAGAATACGAAAATGGGGACCTTCGCCTTGCTTGCGTGTACGGTGCGCTAATTTCGGAGCACCCAGTATATATCCCTCAGTATTTATCATTTACGAATGCAGAAGAAGCCACTGACGAGAACAACGATCGGTGCTGGTGGCCATGGATAAGTTCACTGATCCCATGTCGTACGAGAAACCAACAACACATGCTCCTGCTGCTGCTGCTGATGATGATGATGATGGTGTTGGTACTGTTGATAATTTCTGTCACTTTGTCACTGTTTAGTGTCATAAAAACATTCCAAAAAAAAAAGAACACAAAAGTAACATACAGTTTGTTCGAACCTGATAAATTGTTAATTAATTAACATTAAATATTATAATCATTGTTATTTTATACTCAAATATTAGTTTGCTAGGTCAAACAAATTGTTAACAATTTTTTTTTTCTCAATTAAAATACATAAACGTTGGTTGGATATTATTTTGTTATAAAATAATCTTCTTTTGTTTAATTTTGGGAATGTGTCAAAATATTCAATTACTTAATTGTCAACCCAATAGAATGTGTCAAAATATTGGGTTGACAATTAAGTAATTGAATATTTTTCAAGGAAAATGATTGGTGAAATCCTCAATTACTTTGTTGTCAAACCCAATAATACAAATGCAGGAATTATTGTACAAATGTTGAATATATTGTATCACCTTGTATAATATATTAATTTTGGTTTTGTATTAATAGTATGTTTGATTAACCTGGTAATAATTAATTCCCATTAAATATTATAATCATTGTTATTGTATACTCAAATATTAGCTTTCAAAGTCAAACAAATTGTTAACCATCTTTTTTTTCTTAATTAAAATACATAAACGTTGGTTGGATATTATTTTGCTATAAAATAGTCTTCTTTCGTTTAATTTTGGGAATGTGTTTTTAGAATGTATCAAAATATTGGATTGACAATTAAGTAATTGCAGATTTTTCAAAGTAAGTGATTGGTGAAATTTGCAATTACTTTGTTGTCAATCCAAGAATACAAATGGAATTATTGTACAAATGTAGAATATATTGTATCACCTTGTATAATACATTAATTTTGGTTTTGTATTAATAGTATGTAGGATAAAAAACTAAAAAGAAAGAGTATGTTGTATTACTTTTGAAGAATCAAGTGCATCAAGTGCAAGTCATTTGATCATCTTGTATAATATATTAATTTTGGTTTTGTATTAGGGGGACCGAAAAGTAATGTCGTTTATACAAATGTGCAATTTTTGATATTTTTATCCAAAACCAATTAATTTTTATCAATTTATTATTAAAAATTTTGCACACCACATGGAAAAAGGTTTTTGATAACAAGGGTAGGTGATTATATTATTGATTAAAAATAAAAACAAAATTTAATACTTACGTATTAACGCCACCGCAGCAAAATTCCGCTAATGCACCAATTTACACCTTAAATTGTTGCGACATATCATAGAATAAAAAAATGGGCCGATATAGAATTTAGCATAGATTCAAAACAGTCTCTATTTTCTTTCACTTGATGCTGTCGCCATAACCCTGACGAAACCCTGACGAAACCCTGACGGTTGCTGTGTGCAAACAACAAGGTTGTTTTATGCGAACAACAAGATTGCTCTTTATTGGCGCATTAGCGAAATTTTTGCTGCGGTGGCGTTAATCTGTAAGTACCCAAAATTTATACGTTTGAATTTAAAGTTAGAAAGCGACATTACTATCCGGTCCACCTAATATTAATAGTATGTTTGATAGAAAACTAAGAAGAAAGAGTATATTGTATTACGTTTTAAATATTATCAAGTGCATCAAGTGCATCACGTGCATCAAGTGCAAGTCATTGACAATGATAAATTACTTTCCAAATTTGATATATATATATAACGTTACATTGTCATTGATCGTGACACATAGGGAAGAGTAGTAGTCAGTTACTTAAAAATATAAATGCAGTAAAATGATTGGGTACAATGTACTCTTGGTGTACACATTGAGACGACAAAAAAGAAAAATAACCATGAAGAAGACAGAAAGGGGGAAAAATTTGAAAAATTTCAATGCAAGCACTCGAATAAAACCAAAACGAAGAAGATGAAGAAGAATATACTAAAATAAATGTTAAATACTAAAGATTTTTTAATAGAAAATGCTAATGTTGTTTCAACATTACTTATTGGTCAGCTCAATATCTGTCTATTCTGCATGTGTATGTGTATGAGAATGAGAGAATGAGTGTGTATGAGAGAGAAAGAAAAGAAACAACACAAAACTTCGGGTTGTCGTACTATTCATACTTTTTCTTGTTCATTTTTATCTTTTGCTTTCTCGGTTGCATTTCCGAGGACAATAAGGACCTTGAAATCCTTCGGCTAGTAGTGTCACCAACATATTTTAGTATGGGTCATCCCCCATTATATTTAAATTGAACGAGTATTATTAATCATATACCTAAGACTCACACAGGTGGTGGTTTTTGTTTAATTTAGAAAAAAATTACCAAATATTTCATCATTTTTGAAATTGTATATATGAAAAAAAAAAAAATAATAAAAAACTAAAACATTATTAATGAAATATTAGTTTGTTTTTCTTATAATAAACTTCTATATTTCTTATTATATGTATAATTATATTAATAAGTTGAACAAATTAATAATTTAATTTTTTTCATAGGGACTCTTCTGAAATTTCGTAAAAGAAAAAGAGATTAAAAGAATATTCTAATGGGACAAAATCTAAGTAAAAAAGAAGAACACTTTATTATCAAGAAAAAACATATTGCATTATTCATTAAAATCATGAGAAATTCTATTATTAAATTATTAAATCATGGTATTAAATCATGAGAATCCTATTTATCGACAGTTTTTAAAATTATGGCACCATCTACTGGTAAAATGGATTACTAATTACGAGGTGGTTATTTAGAACCCTATGAGAAAAAATATATACTTGCCTATTTATGTCCTAATGATAATTCTTCGATGGTAAGTTATTATCAGGTTTGAAATAAATTTACCGACGCATTTGACGACATCTATGAGAAAAAATATATACTTTCCTTTGTGTCCTGATGGTAATTCTCAGATGGTAAGTGGGATCTAAAATAAAAACATTAAATAATTTAGATGATTAATATATTTTTCTTTTTCTTACAAATGATCATCGTTAGATTTAACATCAAACCTTTTTTTTTATTTGATTACCTGAAATTGTTACATTTTAAAATACATGTATAAATACATTTCTGAACACACATTTTAATAGATTAATGAAAATATCATTTTCAAGTCATGATTTTATATGTGTTTATAAATTACATTTATATTTTTAATAATTAAATAATTGTTTATTTGATAATTGAAATAATCATTTTAGATAGAGAATAGTTTTTATTACGAATAAAAGATATAAGAATATACAGAATTTACAATATAGAATATTATACAGATTAAATATAATGATACATCTTTTTAATATTTTATGTAGTTAAATTTTGTTATTAAATATAAAAAGATGTTTGTCCAAGAAAATAATATTTTTATAGTTCTGTGGGTTTCAATTTGAATGTAAATAAAAATATACCTGATTATCAAAAGAATAATTATAATGAATTAGTTTTATTTTAGAATGAGAGTGAATCTCATGAAAGTAAATCTTGTAAAGCTAAAAGTTCGTGTTCCGAAGGTTCTTCTTTAATTCTGTAAGAATTTGATAGTGCGTAATGTTTATGAAGAGCTGAGAATCCTAATCCTGGATCTACCTCTTCTTCTATCATAGGACTAGTACCTCTTTCCATAACATGATTTTTACCTACCTACAAAAATTTAATATATAATTTAGTATATCATTTTTATACTTGGTTATAATTATTAGGTCGTTCCAAAAGTTTTTTCTTTTTTTTTTTTTTTTTAGTAATTCTACAGACACAATATTTTTTAGGTTGAACAATTTATAGGAACAATATATATTTTAGGTTGAACAATATATATTATTATTTATATTAATATTTATATAATTATATATAAATATTAATTATAAAGTATAGAAAAAGGTAAAATAGAATAGAATTAATATTATTTAGTAAAATAAACTAAAATACAAAAACAAGTATATTACGCATGCAATATTGTTTAACTTATTATCAAAAAAAAAGGACGAAATTTTCAGAACAACCTGATATGATTTACATACTTCAAAACGTTGTTGTTTATATGTTATAAGTTTACGAGTTCCTGGAGAACTTTGTATAAGGTTTTGAATAGTAGGATGAGAAACACCAAAGAAATCAGCACCTCTTGGTGTTATAGAACGAAGGGCAGGATTAATGGCTATTAATAATCTCGAATGACATTCATCCGGAGTAGATCCCACTAATGCTTGGTCAAGATCATTGTCGGAGACTATTTCAAATCTATTAAATACAAATAAGTTACTTTTTTATATCGTAGAATAAAATGTTGAATAGAATGAATATGAGTTGTTTTACCTAGGTTTTAATCCTCCATCCAAAATCTTGCAAGTGTATAAACTTTTTGCTCTTACATCACGTAAACTAGCATATATTCTTGTACTACAATATCCAACTGGAAAAATAAGATCTTCCGTATGATATGCAATTCTATCCGTAACAATCTCACCGAGAGAATATACTGTCAGATCGCCTAACGAAATAGGAAATATAGGCCTTCCGTTTATATCTAAAGGTATTAAATTAACCATTCTTCTTGCTGTTTTATTATATCGTTTAGGCTTGACTTTAGTTTCTGTAAATAAAATATTATATTAAAATCATTTGAAAGAAATAATATAATCATAATCTACATTGATAGCCTTTTATACCCGATGCATCCATTGAGATTCTCTTCTTTACCGTCTTCTTAGGTGTAGAAGAACATTCTGAATTGAAAGAAGGGCAATTAAGGTTATTTGATTGAGATCGTGCCATCATTGTACCTGGGTCTGTTTCTCCATGTTGTTGATTTAATTTGCGTAGGAGAAAAAGTTTCTCTTCTCTCATAAGCATTAGATTCTCCTGCATTTGTGCCACTTGATCACATAACGCTGCATTTTCCTAAAATCATGAGTTAACATAAATGTTTTTTCTATTAATAAATAAATTTAGAATAATCGTTAATATTTAACAGATATATACTAAAAGAAAAGAAAAATCTTTTAAGTTTAATATGTAACAAATAGAATCTCAACTTACAAAAACTGTATCCTTCACTATTCTTTTTAATTTTCTATATTTCTTTTTGTACTTCAAATTTTGTTGCATTTCAGTATTCTTATGATAGTCATTGTAATAATTGTCATAAACTTGTGACATTTTAAATATATTTTAAAATAATCTAACAATAATCAATTGAAGCAAATAAATTTGTTTGTTTTGACAACTTATAGGTTAGATTCTGTGACAGATACTAAACACTTATTTAGTTACAATCACATTCAACTTAGAACAAAATAAAATTTAAATATTGTTCTATCTTAATTAATTAAAAAATCATTTCGATAAAGATATGAAATAAATATTAAAATATTTCCGTGATATGTACTAATCGATTATATTATTTTTGGTTTATTTGTTGATTGGCTGACCGTGCACGAATATCAACCAATAAGAAGGCTCCTTGTGCATTGGCCCTAACAGATGATGGCGCGTTTTTTGAATGAGCTATGTGAGCATTTGAATGAGTTATGTGATTTTAACAAATATAATAAAAGAAAATTCAAACAATTGACTCGTGATATTTAAAAACAAATTAACATCATGTTATCTTTTTAAATTTCTTTTACATTAGGAACGAATTTCTAAAGTACAGTTTCTTAATGTTTTTTTAATTTTCGATAGTTTTCTTTACCCGAACACATACTTTTAATTTTTTCTTTCATTATTATAAATTTACAGACATACTATACGCATAGTATTACTAAACTATTTTTTAAAAATTAATTTTCGGTTGTTGCGTGTCCAGAAATAATTTAATTTTGCTCAAATTTCCTTGACTTTATAAAAAATGGCAAGCTACATTTTAAGAAATCTTTTTTTACAACATAAAACAAAATATATCAGAGTTTTTTTTTTTATTTTTTCTTTCTTATTTATTCAATGAATAAATTCAAAGTATAAATTTAGATTAAAAAGAAATATTAAAAGATAAATCAGTTGATACTTTATAAAAAAAAAATAGGATTTTAACACGTTGAGTGCCACGTCAGTCATCGGTGGCTGACACTAGACTTTCCGTTTGGGCCATGTCAGTCACCAAATGACTGACAGCGATAACATGATATAGCACCATATATGGAATTACAGAAAATTTATTGAAAATTCACTTCATTTTGACTTATTACAGAATTAATGGATTTCATTAAAACACGATAAACATAAAGTAACATAATAAGTTTCTATTGCAATAAGAAACAATGGCCCTACAATACCAGCGTTTCTTAAGTGGCACGTGTGGCCTGACGGGGGGATTTCTTTAAAAATGGGCGTGGCGCACAACGTGTTAAAGGAACATGATTGTCAGGATAAATAATTTGACGAACAAAATGTATCTCGAAAATACGATTTATTAATCTGCCGAACGTGTATTTTGCAACGCGCACTCGCATGATTTCTCTCTCTCTCTCTCTTTCGCTCTCTTTCAATATCACTCATTCTTACTATCTCGCGTTCTTCCTTTCATATTCTCTTTCGTACGCGTTATATAAAATCTAGATCGATATTATTATACTTAAGAGACATCATGATTCGTAGCTTCTTTCGATATATGTAAGCTATATATCCTAGAAATCGCGTAAACCATCTACATATATCGATTGAGGAGTGGCCCGATGATCGTTTCATGATCATTAAACTTTAAACACCTCGTTTATTACATTCAAGATTATCGAAACACCAAACGAAGATATTCTTCCTTCCCTTCGATAAGATTTTTATATCTTCATTGTTGAAGCATTTAGTTTTTTGTATTTTCTTTTTCTTTTTTTTTCTTTTTTTATTTCTTTTCTTATTTTTCTATGTGTGTTCGACTATGGTCACTTTTTTGAATTGAAGTAGACGAGTAGTAGAACGACGAAGAATAGAGTCAAACAAATGAAAATAAAATGTTACAATTATTTTCTGTGTATATATAGCAAATGCTATGATATGGTCCGTTGAAAATTCATTATTTATCATCATACATCATACAATGAAATTCTGTATTTACAAGAACAGTTCGATGTACGAGCAATATTTACAAGAGAGATTAAATTTTTTTTTTCTTTATTAATGAACGATTTCTTTTCTTTCTTTTTTTTTTTTTTTTAAACTTATAGTGATTTTTAACGTATAAAGAAGATTATCATAACAATTCACGTACTTTTTTTTATTTCTTTTGGATAGTATTTGCGCGTTAGATTTCAATCGCACGGGTATAATAATCTCGCGTCCATTTTTAAACAGAAAAAAGGTAATATAAAAATGATGCAAAGATTGAATGTAAAATTTGATTCGTATAAATAAATTATAAATCTTATTTTTTTTTTTCCAATTTTTTATCACGCTGTGCTAATTGTATTTTTTTTTTCCCCATCGCTGATCGATTAAATCGCGAGGTGCAATATTTGAACGAAAAATATGATCGATATTCAAATTTGCCTGGGGGCCCCTCTTATAAAATGTTGAATTTATTTTCTTCGATGGAAAATCCCATGTTTTTGATTTAATCTTACCTATGTATAAAGCTGAATAATAATAATAATTGTAAATATAATTTTATTAAAAGTAAAACAAAATTTCGTGTACGACGTTGAATGGGACTGCAGGTAATTGCCATTTTTGACGATAGGATAATCGTGTTATTCAATTTAGACCAATCATATCCTAGTAGCACAAAATATTGAAAAATATTGAATACATGTGTATTTAATATTAACAATTTAATATTATTAATTAATATTATAATATATAATAATAAATTATATATAATATTTATAATTTTTATTATTATTATTATTATTATTATTATTTATAATATNATTATTATTATTTATAATATTTATAATATTTATAAATTAATTATATATAATATTAAAAAAATGTTTAATATTAAAAAGACATACATAAAAACATATACTATCTTTTTAATATTAAATACACATGTATTTAATATTTTTCAATATTTTGTGCTATTATGGATAGTGATGAGATTAAAGTTGTTTATAAATGTTACGATTGTACATGCATACCATCGATCACCATAATTAAAACAATAATCATTTTTCAATAGAAACATTTACTTATTATTTTTTATTTCGAAATTTTTCTTGTAGATTTTGATGAAGAGACAAAAATTAAACATAGTACGATAATTTAGCATTCATACGAAATTTAATAAGATTTATAGTACGCGCAGATACTTGAATAATAATAATCATTAATAATAATTATTCTTATCAGAGATTTATAATCAATCGAATAGAATAAAATTGATGCGGTGATAATGAAAAAATTTAGTTTGGGAGGATAAGGAGGAAATACGAAATTGTCGTAGTTCTTTTTTTTTTTTTTTTAATAAAACATTGATAAAACTCGTTCCATATTATAAGAGAATAATTTTGTAGTATTTATCATTCTCTCATTAAAATAATTGTTGACGAATAATTAAGGAAAATAAAATAAAAAAAAAAAAAGAAAAAAAGATTTGGTTGACGCGATGCAGCGATAGAACTTTTACTCTCTAAATTGACTACGTACAAAAAATATTCTTATCGACTAAATATGACATTATATACACAGTGTACCTATGACTTCTTCTTCTTCTTCTTCATCTTTTTCTTCTTCTTCTTTTCATTCTTCTTCTTTATCCATGTGATTGTTATAAGTTCCTTGTGCATATTCTGTACATTTTTTGTTTTTGTTTTTGGTAATAATCCTAAAGGTGAATGATAAATCACATTTTTTTTTTTTTAGAGTTTTTGCGACGCACATTTTGCGATGAGTGTGTTTTTAAGAATATAATACGCTCGTAGATTATTTTTCTTTTTCTTTTTTTTTTTCCATTTTTTTTTCCTTTTTTTTTTTCTTTTTTAAAGATTCGCATTCTTATCCTTGAATCATCGTACAGATTTGATCGATTTACACACGCAGCACAAGAAAAAAATTATTTCAGATCTACTACGATTTTCTTTTGTCTTATTGTGATGATCCTAAGCAAGGTGCATGTGTTTTAATACGATCTAAGCGATAAGAATACGAGCCTAGAAAATGTGTTAGGTGCATTTTTCTCACTTTTCAAATTTACATCGATGATGTTTACTGTTTTTCTTGTATTTTTTTTCTTTTTTTTTTTTGTGTGTTTTCATTTCAAATTTGGCCTTTTAGGTACATATCCTTGAATATGAACGACGTACATTTAAACGTATGTACATACATACATACATAGTCACATACACAACCCTAGATACGATTTTGCGTAGTAGGCGCGTCTCGATGAGGGGTGGTAAAGGGAGGCGGGGGGAATGGTTTTGATGGAATTTTTGGATATCTCACAGTTGTTTGTAAAGAGAATGAATAAAATTAGTAATACAATTAACATTCATATTGGAGAGAGATTAGCGATCGAACGTACATAGCATATTATTTCTTTTATCTATATACAAAATGTATACAATGTATCAAAATTCTAAGTTCGTGATTTTAGAAAATCAATAATTATATCGTCTCTCAAAGGTTGCATGTGGTATCCCGAAATATGCACCCGTTTTATGGTTTTTTTCTTTTTTCGAACACTTTTTTTTTTACGAAGAGAAATTTTTGTTTTAAGTATACTATTATTTATAAGAAAGTATTTTTATGCATTACACACGTTTAAATACATTCCAAATATTTTCCCATAGAGTGTTCCTTTTTTTTTCTTCAAAAATCTTATTTTTTTTTTGTTTAATCTTTTTTTCGTACTTTTGTTTCCATTCGCGCAGCATTTTATTTTTTCTCTTTTTATTTATATATATATATTATTATTTATTATTTTTTTTTTTATTTTGTCGATAACGCCAAAACGCACAGCGTTGTTTGCTCTTCATTTACCTCGTCGTTTTTGTTTTCTTCCTTTTTTTTTGGTTTCTTTTCTTTCATTTTTATGTACATAACCTACATATCGCGCGATGATATGCAAGAGAGCATTTTTACTTTAAATACTTATTTATTATAGTTAGAGATACTTTTGGCGTTATATATGAATAAATAATAATAGAAGTGAAATGCAGAAAGTAAAAGAAAAAAATATGAATGCGATTGGTGTAAAAAAAAAAAAAAAAAAAAAAAAAGAAGAAAGAAAGAAAGAAAGATAGAAGACATTTTTTTTGCTGCTTCCCCATTTTGTTGATCAAAAAATAATTCAACAAAGGTATCTGTAAAATTTACACGTTGTAAAATGGATGTGATTGAATATTTTTTTTTGCTTTTCTTTTTGTTTTTTTAAATGTAAATCAGTGATTCCCAAAATGGACGCCA